TTTCCTCACAAATTCTGGCGCGGTGATTACCAGCCATCACGTTCCGAATACGTGTATTCTATTTGCAACTCGAGCCCGCGCAAATGCGGAGCCAGAAGTTTTCTATTCGAGGCCGCAGGCATTGGATCCTTCGAACATTGAGATCGGTGTTCCGCAAGATGATGTGACATTGGTCCCGGGAAAAGTGTCGGAAGTACGCACCATTTTGGAAGGTACAAGCGACGCCACTCCCGAAGAACGCACAGCTAGCAGCAGTGCCGCAAAGAAGGAAGAGATGGAGGCAAATCGCAATACAGCTGTACCACAGATCGAGAGTGGATATTTTCTACATCTTCGAACTTTCAGCTGCGATAAATGTACGACACTTTCCTTAGCAGGAATGGCATCTTGTCATCGATGCGGAGTAGTATTTCAGAGCAATACAACAGATGGACCGATTTCAAAGTTTATGCGACTTCAGATGAGGCGTGCAAAGGTGCTACAAGAGCAGGGGGGCGTGCCCAAGAACATGACCGCAACAAGCATGCTTGGCAGCATTGCCGCGCAGGACCTACAGTCTGGACGACCTCCAGCTCGTGGCAGCCCGTCAGTTGACAGTCAGATTATTCTTGCAGCTCGCAGTCGCCTTCGCAAAGCATTGAAATCAGGGTATGAGAATGTATTCGATCGATTCAACCGCGACGACGTCTTCGCCACCTCCTTAACCGGAGAAGGATGCACAGCGTTTGATGCAGCGCAAGAAGACTTGTTTGCGTCACTGCAATTACCGGCACCCACGAGATCAGCGAAGCAGAGATCAAAAGGGAAGTCGGTTGTCAGTGATTTGGATCGACTGGACAGGGTTGACCTCGCCAAGCTCGCGTATATTCGATGCGGTGTTGACAACCTACATACCTGTTTCAAGCAAGGCGTCGACGAGAACTTTCTGATCAGTTATCGCCGAGAGTTTATGTCACTCCGACAATACGCCGCCGTAATTGGCGATAGCCGAGATGAGATCAAGATCCAGGGCTTTATCCCCACGACGGACGTCTATGGCGATATTCATTCAATTCGTATTCCTCGTGGAGACACGACAGGCATTTACAAGATTTTGAGTGAGTTTGCAGAGCAGAATGAAAGTTATGCAAACATTCAATATCAGAGAAACGCGCAACAGTCTGCAAATATGCAGGGACGCGATCGTGGACAGCCAGTTTCTCAGATGGGCTTCATGAACATCGAACAGCGCATGGCCACGCCTTATCCCAAGTTTGCCGATTGTGGCCAGGACATGTCATCTGACGAAGTCAGAAGGTTGGAAGAACTTTTGTTGGAGTTTGGACAGCGTGGATCCCCATCTCCTCAAGGACCTGTAACAAGGCCCCCGTTGACGCGGAAGCGATCGCAGATGTATATGGAGACTATTGGAGATGCAGACAAACGACCGAGGCTGCAGTGGAGGAGGAAAGAAGACCGAGATCAATCTGGTCGTATTGCAACTTGGGTTGACAACCGGACTCCACCGCCAGGCGTGCCTCAGCCGCCAGCTCCCGTAACAGGGACGCATACCTCGTCGGTATTCCGTATGAATGCACCTCCTGCTCAAGGACAAGTATCAGGCAAAGGAGACTCCCATAAACGGGATGCCAGTGTGCGAGGAGATGTTGCCGGTAAGGGCAAAGGGCAAGGCAGTTCTTCTGCGTCAGGTTACACTGCTCCCGCAAAAGGGACGCCACGTGGTTCAGTTGCCCGTGCAATATCTCGCAGCCGTGAAGACCTTCCACCTAAGCGTGGCAACATTCCCAAGGACCTTTTGGGTCCTCCACTTCGCACTCCACCATCCACTCCTGCAAAACCGTCAATCCCAAAGCCTCCTTCCAATCCACCGTCAGTACCGGTGAAAGAGGCCCCAGCATCACCACCTCCACCACCTGCACCAAATGATGCACCAACGGCCGGCTTATCCCCGGCTTCAAAACCACGTCCAGCAAAACCTTCACCTCCGAAGGTCCCACCAACAAAGGTGCCTCCTCCAAAGGTTCCTCCACCGAAAGTGCCACCCAATACAGCCAGTGGCATTCCGGTACATACAAGGCCGACAGATTTCAATCTCACGCCGAAGCCGCCGCCGCTTACAGACCTTTACAGTCGGTTGCAACCTTCCGTAAAAGGAAAGGGCAAGGATAAGCAGCAGGTGAGTGTTCGAGGAGGACCTTATGCTCCACAGCAATGGAATGTACAAAACGTGCCACCGCCGCCATTGCCACCCGGAACTTCATCCGCTTCGGCATCATCGTCACATAATGCACCCTTAACTGGACCGCCGACTTCCAGCATTCGTGGAACTATTGATCGACCATTGGAACCCTTTGATTTTCCTGGAGTACAATGGCAACGCGATGACCCATGGGGCGAGAACTATTGGCCCAATCACATGGAATTGTGGGAGTGGTTGAGGCAGGGATGGCATGACGAGACGGAGCGTTTTGGAATACAATTTCTTTAAGCAGATGTTGAATAGCTACCATAAATGGTATGCCTTGCAGCTTATGAGTGTTGAGATAAAGATCACCTTCTGACGCGCTGTGAGATGATGTTTCACTTCATTGTCTCACTTCCCAATGCATCCATAACAGGATTGCCATAGTCGGAGAGTGAACTTTTAATCAATGCTTAACACTAACCTGGGCCTAGCATGTTTAACCACATGCCGAGTGAGGCGAAAACTGTACATTAGGGTAGCTACGTTCTCCTTGTATAGTGCATGCACGAGCTTGATGAGGGATTTCTAATATGATTCCTTCGTCGCTAGAATTTGATCCTCCCCGAGATTTTCCCTACGGGTAGCTCCTTGTAAAGGGGGGTGTTGAAATTCACCTCATCCCCATGGACCCCGTAGCGTTGACTCTCAAGGTAGAGCAAAAGGTAGCGCTTACCGGACTAGCAGGGTTAGCTAGGTAGTTAGTACTATTAGAGCTGATCCTGTAAAATACAAATATAAATACGTATATATGATATACACTGTATATGGATAGTTTAGTGTATAGTTTTTCCTTCCTTCTACTCAGTTCTACTCTCACTCTTTTTCTCTCGCTGTTTTCTTCTCTGCCGCTGAAGGCGAAGGAAGAGTTTGAACACATTATATACCTGAACTAGAACACCGTGTAACCGCTGGCCAGTTCACCTTCCACGCGTGCCTCGCGCCTCTTTTTGCCAGGAGAAGGCACCGATATCGGACAAGGGCAATGGGAAAGGCAAAGGCAAAGGCCTGGCGTCCCGACTGCGCGGAGTCTGAACGAGAGCGAACGAGAGACTTGAACGAACGGGGCGACGGGCGGGTTACCACAGTCCACAGTGGAACACGGTGGAGCATTCCATTGACCGCGAAGAAGCTGTTTGTAGGTTCTCTTAGCCATCACTGTCCCCAGTTAGATTCATGACGAGTCAAATGGCTCTGATTTGAGGGTGATGTTGGAGGCTGTGAAGTCAGACCAAAAGCGCAGACCCGACCTTTCCCGAGTTGCGAGTTGCGCCCCAACAGCCACTTGGGGAAACTAGCAGAGATCCCAATCCACCGGTCTGGTGTTGGGTCCATGATGGTCCGAGGCTAGTCCTTTCAGTTTCCACGTGAGGTTGTTCCTTGCGTGTCCGCGGACCGTCCATGTGAGGAATCCGCATTGGTCACCGGGTGTTCTTGCCAAAGAAGTCTTCTGTGTGGATGTTCTACCGTCTGAAGCTCTCATCACGGAAGGAGGGAGTTGTATATATACATATATATATATATATGCAATCATGTACATAACATCACATAAATACATCCATACACACCTAGAACCTGAGTGACCCCCTGTTTGGAAGCCAAAGCAAATCATTTTCCTATCAAATCAGATGTCAAATATTTACAGGAGGCACCTCGATTAGGTATTTGTCCATGCTTGAAGCGTCTCCTTTCTCGGAACCGACTAGATTGCCAACAGCGGGTCATAGAGCTGGAAGATTCATGATCTCGCAGTCTTGCCACCCTAAGACATTTCTCATGTCAGCTGCTTGCAGGAAAGCCAGCGGTGAAGATACCGCGGATCCTTCGGCTATGCCCAATTTCATCAGGCATACCTGGCCTGGGTTGCTGAGCAATGCTGGTCGGTCTTTGGGGCAAAGGGAGTGATTTAGAATCCGAGCTAGAAGCTAGCTTGACAAATATGTGCTTCTGAGATGTCTCAAGTGTCTCAAGTGTCCCCAGTCTTTTGGTTCAAGTGAGGCTTCTGAGATGAATCTAGGAATCTGATTCACTGACTTCGTGAGCTTCGCACAGGAGTGATCATTCATAGAATATATCACGAACGATAGCGAACGCTGGCTCTACTGGAACTGACTGCTGCAGAGATGGAGACTTCTTTTTGGGTGCCTCTTAAAGCTTCTCAAAGCACATGAAGGCACCCAAAGCACATCAAGCCTTTGCTTTGGGTGCCTTTGCATGACCTCTTAAACAATGCGCATGAAGGAGCCTTGGTCAAAGCTTCCCGTGTTGGTTCTTGTTGACGGCTGAGAGGGTCATGCAGAGCCTCGCTCAACCCGCGAGCTTTTGCACAAGCTGAACCCCACATTGGAAGCATTTGTTTCCATGACATCTGAGCTGTAAGTTGGCTTGAGCGGCAGATTGTAAATCCAGGATGGCTTGGCCGGCTGCCCTTCTTTCGTTCAACCTCTGTGCTTTCTAAGAAGGAGCCTCAAAAGAAAGACCTGTCATGCCGCTGCTCAAAACATGGACACGGTGAATATGAGTTCGGCAGTGGCTTTCGACAGATGTCTTCGACGTGACGAGCAGTGGCGACCCTTGGTCGGTGAACAGTGCCATTCTGCAAGGCCATCCCTTGCCGAACGGATGAGCCATTCCTGGACGATTTGGATGGATCAACCTGTTTTCGTGGCTCCTTTCTCCCGAAGCACACCTGGCTAGTGGAAAGCTTTGCACTTTCGGGTCGTTCTTCAATGACTTGGCTCCATCCACTGGTGGAGGCATGGGTGTATCTTTTTGGGATACCCATCGAGTGCCCGTATCACCAAGCGACCGAGCGGAGTCGCCAGGGATCTTTTGCGAAGACGCCCGTCTTCAGCCGCACATGGCGACGGGGCTGCATGGCGCCGACGGCCAGGAATGGGAGTCTATGGATGAATACCCGGATGGAACGTTCTTTTTTTAGGTGCTGGAAGTCTTGTCAACTTGTAGAGAAGACCCACTATTTTATAATGTTTAGATATGCCGACATATAACTTATACTGTACAATGCATATTATATCATTCGGTGTATTTTTGTATATACTGCAACCGATTATATACTGGATTGCTCTACCAAACCAGGTTTTTGTGAGGTTGGACGGAAATCCCTCATCCTGCTTTGTTCTCCATGTCCAACAAAAAATTGTTCAAAGCATCAAGGACCTTGTTGAGGTGCTTGGATTGGGTACCAGAAGGATGACCTGAAGGATGACCCATCCCACTGGACCAGAGGTCCTCGATCGGGCAAAGCTTCCTCCGAGGCCGAGATCACCTGGGCAGCCCTGGCGCTGGGGCTGGCGATGCTCCCCTTGGAGCTCCAGGACGGAGGGTGCAGGCTCAAGTGCTGGGAGGGAAGTGCTGAGTGCATCGGTGATGGAGTTCGATCGAAGCAATTTTGGAGACAGATTTGGGTAGATTTCCCGACCAAAATGAGAAGACAAAGAGAGCGGAACAGTCGGTTTGGGGAGGGGAAAGGAGCCTGAGACTGCCCGCCATTTCCTCAAGCTCCGATCGAACTGCGGTGCTCCTGTAGCTGGATGAATGCCAAACCGAAAACCCACCAGGAGTTGTTGAAGACCGTGGAGCTCGAAGCAGGGTAGCTCAGGAGGCTTTGGTGAGCAGTTGTGAAAAGAAGGTACATGTCCAGACAGGTATCCAGTGGGTTTGTGCCAGGGACCATGTGAAGGTGAAGGAGGTTTTCCAAGCATCACTTGGTGAGGGCCCTTAAAGCAACATGCACTCGAAAAGCCTTTGAGAGAGGGAAAGAGAGAGAGAGAGAGAGAGCGAGAGAGAGAGGGGGAGAGAGAGGGGGAGAGAGAGGGGGAGAGAGAGGGGGAGAGAGAG